GTGTAATGATGTTCCTAATTGTTGCTCATTTTTTTACAGTTATTTTCAAAATACGGTAAGTATCTATTCAGTTTGATTCCTAAATGCTAATTAAGCATGAACATTTCCACCAATGCTGTACACAATTATAAATGTTAAACTTTAAAACAAAATTGTCTAAAGACAGCCATTGGTTTGGTTATTTTAACCTCCTAATGTTCCTAATTTAACTGCAAATAAATCTATTTACAGTAATTTTACTTTCCCTATACTAAAAATGTCCACCTTTTGGTTAGGCATGATTGCAATAGTTTCATTATAAAAAGGGGGTTAAAAGTGTTGGACAAATTTTATTGGAATGAGTTTGCCAACTCTCTCATATTGAACTTTTCTAATCAACATCTATATTGAGTATGACAGGCGACTCGAGGGCCTCTTCGATCTAATTTGCTGAGTAGTTAAATATATTTAACGATTATTTATAATAGATATTGCTTTCTGGTACTACAACCTACCGTGTGTATTATATTATATGATGTTTTAATTATCTTACTTGCTCCAGTCCCTGTGATTTTGAGAATAATACAATAAGTTCTATTGCTTTTGTTCTGCATATTTTAGATCTTTATATATTAGTACATTACATAACAGTATCCCTAATTTATTTATGTCACTTTGTCCATTTCCAGGAAAATTCTAGTAACTAAATTCGTTATTTCTTAGTATTTCCTACAATTTATACTGATATTATTGCTAACTACATATGAGTAGATATGGTTTACTTTTTTAGCTTTAAAAACGCTATATTCAAGCCACATTGGATGAAAAATATGTTTATATTTGACAGTAAAATTGCGCTTTTAGCAAATTAGTTTATTAAGTAGTACGTAAAACTATCAATTCAATCATTTCTTCAGAAAGTGACGTGAGTGATGGTTTAGTAGATTACATAAATGGATTAGAGTGTTGTAGAATAGATTACATGAAGCCTTGTTACAGATTGAGGCCATATTTAAGACAAATTGGGAACCTATAAAGCCTGAAAAGTACTTAATAAACTTTACTATACCAACAATAGTTATGGTAGAATAAATTAGACTTATTGTGCATAATCTAGGATATAGACTTCAGCCATTTTTATTGAATCATCCAGAACTTCCTACGTCCCATAGTTGTAAATAATTGGACAAAGTAAGTTGCTGTTTGAACATAGAAGTCACGGGGTAAAAACATACCCCACTCTAAAATGTACCCATTTGATAGTAATCGTTAATCAAAATATGCCAATTAAAGACACAGTAAAACATTTAAGTGATTTTAATTATGTTGCGATTTTTAACTATGTAATAATTTATATTGATATAATTTTTGAAATTCTTCAACGTTTCTGTGTTTAAAACAACAACGTTCTTGGAGGTGGATCAACTCATCCAGTTTTTAATTGAAATTTCTATCCTGCATTATCCTAATTCCTCAAAAGGTGGCCAGTCAAAAACTGCTTCTTGAAACAAAAATATTTACAACATATATTCGTTATATTTTACTAACTATTTGACAATATTTTACAAACTAGTAAAATCCACTTGTCAATCACTCTTTGCATAGAATTTTCACTTAACGGAGAAGAATTACTGAATGGTTAAGAAGATTCAATATTGGTGTACAGAAAGTGTCAATACATGCCCATGAGATTCAACACAGCTAATGACTGTCTTCTGAGTGCTTTCCCTAGGGAATTAATTACCTTTTGTAGGGCAAGGCTGAGATTACTAGCCAACCGCCTTGACTTCAGCTTTGTAAAGCGAGGTATTTCAAACTTTTAGTTAAATTAATGTCGATGTGCTGCGTTAAAGAAAGAATAGATCTCAAATTCAGTCTTGTGGCAGATAAGTTTTAGAGACAGATAGTTTGTTGCCTAAAGTGACATTTTAAAATTGTAACCTACAAAAAATGTTATGGCTGATTTAAAAAAAAAGATTTTTTTGCACGCTTGTTGGGCCAAACCGATCTGCACGTGTGGTCTGATTCACCCCGTATAAAATATGTGTTTTTTTTTTTTTATCTTGAATATTTTGAAATGTTCACCATTGAGTCCCTTCCTAACACACAGAATCAGTCATATTAATGAATTTATTGTTTTCACAGCAACAGTTCGGTTGGGGTGGTACCGTTTATAATGCCATTTCTCAAAGGGATGACATTGTTTTTGTTGCTCTACCACTGATCATTGATCCACCCCCACTCTCTCTTCTTGGAGTGGTTAGTTCCTCTTTAACCACTCGACAAGAAATGGTTTGTCTCTGCTCATGAAATATTTATCCCGCTGTTTTCAGCCGATGATTGATATTTTAACAGACTTTCTCTTCGGGGACATCATTTTCCAAGTGTTTAAAAGCCAAAGGGTGTTCACTTATAAATTTTGAAGTATAGCTGTTGGGATTGTGAAGATTTATACATTAATTGACATTTATTTTTAAACACATTTATAATCGCCTAGATTTCAATAGCTAAGGACAAGTGTGAAATAGCTTGATTACTAAACTATGAGGGTTGATAAATAATAAACAATAAAATGATCATAAAAATAGTTTACATACCCGTTGTTTGTGCCTGACTATATATATTTATTCGTTGTTAAAAATAATATATTTTTTACATTAGAGGCCTAAATTTGAATATTCCAGCTTGAGAATGCCCCCAAAAAATACCAAGACCTTGTGATACATGCTATCAGCTAACACGGTTTAAATAAAAAAATAAAATAAAAAAAAACTACTTGTAAATATTCTGTAATAGTTGGTTCTTCCTCGATATTTTGGCATTAAAAAAAATTACTTTGCAATAACAAAATTTACAGAGGTGTTTTTATTCAAACCTGGTTTAATTTTGTTTCATTTTTCAAACGGTTGTTGAATAGTGAATTGTTGATTGAAAATCACTTACAGGCTGATGAGGCCTGGCAACTATGCTTTTTCAGGCTATTTTTGTATTGCAAAATGTGTTTGTATTATTTAACAAACATTGTCAACACTATCCATCAAGAATAGTAACAAATAAAGTTTTCTAATCTGATTGCGTCCTCATTTGAGAAAGTACCTAAAGTATAATAAGATAAGTTCTTAAATACAGCTAAAGCTAAAAAATCACTATAAAACGAAGATTAAGTCTGCAATAATCTCTTAAATAAACTGACCTTCTACAATAATTAACTTTAAACTAGCAAAATATGTTTGCCTAGATGCAAGGAACAAATTTAAAAAAGGCAGTTCCGAGAAACCATGTATAATTTGTATGACAACAAAACTACTGAATTTAAATTCAGAATCTCAGATCAAATTAAACTTTTCATATTCCCTTGATGCTCGGCTAACTCACATAACCATGTGTCACCAGTGACAAAAATATTTTCTTTTAAACGTGACAAATTTTTACTGCAAGAAATAAATATTCAAAAGATATTTACTGTTCATTCACTATTTAATTGCATAAATATTCAATCAACAAACATACGTGTGAACCATTAAGCCACATCGGCATCTTATAAATCCTTTCTTTGAAGGCAGAAACTTATTAAGGGAATGTGTATTAGTGTCTGACCGGTGCTTTAGTACACAATGCGTTGTGCTTTATTATTACACACAATGAGCACAATAGCCTCCAAGTCTCAGACACAATACCTTTGCACCATGGATGATAAATATTAAACACAATATTACCTCACACAAAAGCTCTTTTTCCGTTAGTTGAACTTTGTTACAGTAGATTACGTGATTTTTTGTTTCACTAATTTTTTTGCATTTCACGCTTGTGGTTGTGTTTCGAGAAAATAAGTAGGGATTTTGTAAAACTCCCCAAAAAGAGTGCAAGTGAAATTTAAAACTTCACCACAAAACCAAAACACCAAAACGTATGTATAATTATTTATTTCTCAGTATCTTTATTTAATTAATGGTCTCTTAAATGTCTTAAAATCTATTTCTCCTTTACGTAACAGTCCATTACTTGGTCAAAACATAATGGTATGGAATTCTAAACATGGCACATCTTTGCACCGTCACAAAATGAGAAATCTGCGCATGTCATTTAATGTTTATTTCATCAGAATAATTTGGCCATGAATTGAATATTGTTCAACATTTTATCATTGAGCTTAAAACGTTTATTTTGTTTACCATTGAGAAGGACTTAATCATCATAAATAATTAAAGTTGTTCATATACACTGCGGTATGTCTTTTACCAAATATAACTGTAAAATATTAGTTTTCATTATAATTCTTTACATATTAATATTACCTGAACCAAGGTTTTGCCGTTGCTATAAGTTGTCTATTAGATCATTAGAATAAAAATTAATAATTTAATTTCTTGTATTCTCCACTTTCCACTGATCCACTCACTTAAATAATACTCATCTCCCTTCAAATATCAAAGCTTTATACATTTCTTGGTGATTTTCTGCTTGGAAACTAATGAAGTTTCATGAAATGTATTAACTATTTACCTTCTAGATCACTTGTTTTTGTCGGTCCCTTGCATATACCCCATCCAAGTTACCCAGTATGATTATTTTACTTGGTCCTCATTTTTAAGTAGTACAGTATGATGTTTATTTTTGTATTATTGATGTTTTCTACGCTGGTGGAATTTTTTACAGGAGAAATTGAGTACAGTGTAATTAATTGAGTACGCTTTTAGGGCAAGTGGTGCAAACCCATTTTTGGTGGATAGCCGGGAATTTAACCCGTCCCTCCTACACTGAAGTCCTGAGAAGCAAACCACCATGCTACCAACACCCAAAATGTACAACGTGCCAATATTTTAGTGTCAAGCTAATAGGAGAAAATATTTGTCGGTTTGCTGATACAGTTGATTTATTTTATCACCACTACCGACTGACCTACTGACCCACCTAAGTTTAAACCCTCCCTCAAATATCACAACGTAATAAATTTCATCATTCTTTGTGTTGTGTTTCTTTGCTTGGATTTATTTTATATTTTATTTTATTTGTTGTTTCAGGGTGCGCTGGGGTCCCGCAGGCGGCCGCGGCGCTACGCCCATATCAAAGAAGGACTGCCATTCAGTGAACATAGTCTACTCTATGCGTAAGCATCTTTACGTAAACCTTTACAACCACGCCTTTCGATATTACGAGTATGTCTATTTATTTTTCATTTTTTATGTTAGTTTATGATTCAAGAGGAGCTTATGAAAATAAAAATAAGTCTCCTCATTCAACACTATTAGTTGTCTCTACCAAAATCGTAAAAATTCTTGAAAGTCAAGAATTTTCTCTTGTGATTAACCAACTACCAAGCCACTAAATCCATGTTAAAATTTAAACTCTGGCAGAATTATTTTGTTTTATTTGCACAAGTACATTTTGGAAGCTTAACAATTCTCTGATTTCCTTTTGCATTTTTATCCTATATACTTTTTATCATATATATCCTTGTTCTTAATAATGTTTCAGAAAGATTTTTAATATTTTGCCAAAGTTATACAAAGTGATACCAATGCTTATTTAAAAATAAATAAAAAGGAACTACAGAATTGTTGTCAAATTTCCTTCCAATCAAATCTGTTAAAGCAGAAGGTATAGTTAAACTATTGTTTTTGGCAATCAATATAATCAATTTTGTATTACTATTATACAGGGTGAGTTTTAATTGTCCCCCCCCCCAACTTTTTTCTACATTTTTTCAAATATCAATCCCAGACCACTTCCAAACATTGTTGGGTAGTAAGTACTTCATTTTGACAAGGTGGTCATTTCTGGCCGCCATCTTGGATCCGCCATATTGGATGCAAAATTTTTTTTTCAAATGTAAAGGTGGGGTTGTGACCCATTATTTCGAACTACATATTTACCCTGATTACAATGCCGCAAACCGTTTTTAAAAATCTTGATTCATTCTAAAGTTACGAGGGCTTTTTAAAACTTTATTTTTAGCCCATTTTAACATTGTGCATTTACAAACTAAGACCATAATCCCAAAATAGTGCTAGATAATGATAAGTATACACTACCAGTAATTGTCCACCTATTTTCACTTGGTTTTGACTGATGTATTTTTTCGGCCGCCATCTTGGATCCGCCATTTTGAAATGTGATAAATTATTTTAAATATGAAGAGGGTGTTGTGACCCATCATTTCGAACTACTTTTTTAAGCTGAACTTAATTCCGTAATCCGTTTTTCATTTTCATTTTTTGATTTTGAAATATTGACATTTTTAACAAAAAAATGTCAATATTTCACAAATAAAACTTGATAACAAAAAATGGATTGCGGCATTGAGTTAAGCTTAAAAAAGTAGTTCAAAATGATGGGTCACAACACCCCCTTCATATTTAAAATAATTTATCACATTTCAAAATGGCGGATCCAAGATGGCGGCCGAAAAAAATACATCAGTCATAACCAAGTGAAAATAGGTGGACAATTACTCGTAGTGTATACTTATCATTATCTAGCACTATTTTGGGATTATGGTCTTAGTTTGTAAATGCACAATGTTAAAATGGGCTAAAAATAAAGTTTTAAAAAGCCCTCGTAACTTTAGAATGAATCAAGATTTTTAAAAACTGTTTGCGGCATTGTAATTAGGGTAAAAATGTAGTTCGAAATAATGGGTCACAACCCCACCTTTACATTTGAAAAAAAATTTTTCATCCAATATGGTGGATCCAAGATGGCGGCCGGAAATTACCACCTTGTCAAAATGAAGTACTTACTACCCAACAATGTTTGGAAGTGGTCTGGGATTGATATTTGAAAAAATGTAGAAAAAAGTTGGGGGGGGGACAATTAAAACTCACCCTGTATTTAATCGCTTTTAGGCTGTAGCTATTAACTGATAACCTCTTTTATCCAGTTGAGTCGAATAACCCTATTTGATGCAACTGGATCAAAGAGGTTATCAGTGAATACGTTATATATTCAATGGTTCCAAACATATAACGAAACATGGTAACCATGTTAAATACAAATCGCTATTTCATGTTTTATAACATTGTCTGGATGTGATCGAAACATCACAGGCAAACTATAGAATTAATAAACTTCTGACCCGTAATAAACTATTCTTTCCACACTATTTTGTATTCCATATAAGTAGAAATGAAATGTGTGCATGAACAGATACATTTGTACATTGTAAAATAGAGCAACAATTCACTCGCAGTTTCCTTAAGCACCAATCGATAAGAGAAAGGCGAAAGTGTTTCTAATAGTTGCATGATTATTTGCATCGCAGCCACACGATAGCCTTTGTATTCAAAACAATTACCTGAAATAAATCAAAGCCAAATCGTTCACAAACACGCTCAAGTTTATTGACCTTGGTGTCTTCTTAACATTCACTATTCGTGCAAACTTGATTTACAGAAACTAGCTTCAAAGGCTGGCAAATAAAAAGGTCACAAATTCTTAGCAAGAATCAATTTAACTTCTTAGATAATGTTTAAACTGAAAGTGTGAATAATTATTTTCTTAATATTCAAAGAGCAACTCCTTTTGGTGTTGATCGCAAGAAGTTAATTTTTATGTGTCTTAATTTTAAATTTATACATTGGGTAACTTTTATTTTTACTAATTATAGAATAACTCTATAACTGTGTGTGTGTGTGTTTTTTTTTTTTTTTTTTTTACTATAACTTCTTAATCAGCATGTGTTTTAATTAAATTAAAGGCCAATGATTCTTACCAAACGCTAGGATTCAGTGTATGTATATCATTACTTGAACAAGTTTAAACAACTGAATAAAGATTTCTCTATTTAAATAACCCTATCTTCAACCACTTATTTTATAATATTCACCAAGGAATTTAAATTTTTGTGTTTTCTATTTGAGAGTATTTTAAGTATGAAGTGTATTCAATTTCTGTGTTTCAATTATAAATATATCGAATTAAATTCATAATAGTGACAAATCACATGATAATTAATTGATATTTATCAGACAATCCCAAAAGTTTATTTAGACTAAAGGCCACAAATTCCCATATTGAATATCAATACAGAAAATAAAATGTTCTTTGTTTCAATTTAAATTATACTTATTAAATATCTCACATTCTTCTCAAAAACTATTCGTTATTACAATCCTAATTTATCCATTCAGGAGGAGCACAGTATAGCAGTGTGTTTATTTATTGATTTGGCAAATAAAACGCATGTGTTTTATTCCAATGCATGGGTGCGAGGTTTGCTGGTGAATGGCAGTGATTGGACCAAATTGGCTTACATTGAAAGTGGATCGCTCTCATTGTACCTAACTTTGGTAATTTATACGAACTCTCTGCCTCGTGTAGAATGTAGTATATTTACCAATATACAATAAGAATAGATTCGGTTTTATTCCTACTTTTAAATTGAAAAATTTCTTATTTTACAATATTTTATGTAAGAAGATTTCTTAATATAATGTTTCTTAGTGAGTCAAATACTAGTGGAATGTGCTTTTGGGTGTTAATTCAGAGAAGAAATGTAGTAGTCCATTTTAAATAGAGCTATGATTGTTTATTCCTAGATCTACATGCAAACAAATTATTATGAGATTAACTTGTAGTGAAATTTACAGACACAACTGGCAGAAAATTAATTTTGTTGCCATTATTGAGTAATTAATACATGTTTATTGCACTGGTATAAAAATATGCGTTGCCTTTACCAGCACTCAATTAATTTTACCTATCAACCCTTTTTTAAATGTAAAATGTCAAAACCTTTTTTCAAGATTTACTTACTATCGTAATCATCAAAATAAATAATGGGGAAGAACTGGAAAAATGTATTTAGTTTTTTTTATATAAATTTAACAAAACAATGATTAAATATTGAAAAAATAAAACTCAAGGTACAAAGACGAGTTTAAAAAAAAACAAAGTCACACAAAACTTAACTTACTCAAGATGTTCTTCTGTCGGACCCATACCAACTGTTTCATTTTCACTTCATCAATTCACCTCATATTTACTTACCTTATTAACCAATCTCCCTGTTAAAGGAGGTGTTAGCTGCTACGAAGCTGGCCGCCATGAATTTGATCAACATGGACGCGGAGAACCGCGTCGTCCTAAACGTCGGGGGCATCCGCCACGAGACATACAAGGCGACGCTCAAGAAGATCCCGGCGACGCGGCTGTCCAGGCTCACGGAGGCACTCGCCAACTACGACCCCATCCTCAACGAGTACTTCTTCGACCGCCACCCTGGAGTCTTCGCCCAGGTCCTCAACTACTACAGGTTAGTGTGTACATCTCACTGTAGGATGTGTAGGATAGATGTCTCGCCAACTACGACCCCATCCTCAACGAGTACTTCTTCGACCGCCACCCTGGAGTCTTCGCCCAGGTCCTCAACTACTACAGGTTAGTGTGTTACAACTCAATCTAGGATGTGTAGGTTAGATGTCTCGCCAACTTCGGCCCAAGTCTTTGCCAAGGTCCTCAACTACTATAGGTTAGTGTGTACATCTCATTTTAGGATATGTAGGTTCGCTATCTACGACCAAATTCTTGACCAAGGTCCTTAACTACTATAGGTTAGTGTGTACATACCTACTGTAAGATATGTAGTTTAGATACCTCGACAACTACGACTCAAGTTTTCAACCAAGGACCACATCAGGTTAGTTTAAAGCACTTCCTGTACAATATAAAGTGTTACATCCGTCTGTTGGATTTTTAGGTCAACTTGTTCTAACTACAAACCCAATTTAATTAGATCTTCTACGATCGTAGCACTGGAGTACACAGGATGATAAAGATCTAGCCCTCTACGCCCCTATCTTCAACAAGTACCTTTTCAATAACCCTGGAGAGTCATCTAGGCTGCGAATTCTTACTAATGCGTTCAAACTTAAGATTAAACTAGAAAGTTTATTCTGAAAGAATCTATCTACTTTGACCCCATATTTAAGCCTCAAAAATCACCACCCCACTTTTAAGTAGTGGTTTAAGCTTTTGAGCACTTAAATTTTGCTTCTAACTCTTAGTTTATGCTCACAACTTAGGACTTTACTTCAACGCCACAAAAATGGATTCAGCTTATTACTAAATGCGTTGGATCTGTGACTGGTAGTGTTGAATTACCTACTGTGCAATATAAAAAATATAGCCAAGTCAATAGTATAGTTAAATACTAATGTATTAGTACATAATCATAGACAATACTTATATTGGGATCTATGTTACACTACATGACCATTGTTGAGGAAGTTTTTTTACCTAGTTTGATATATTTTTTGTGTGTGTTTGATATACTTAGTTATCATAACGTTTATAGTTTACGTTTTTTTTATCCAAGACCATATTGTGGTTAGAATTATAATACTTATTATACTCAGCATATAATATTTTTTTATTCGAATCGTAAAATGTAAGCACATCTTATAACGAAATTAATTAAATGCGAAATTTCACTACAAAGGACATCCTTCTCTTTCAATAGTACCTAATTAGTTTTATCAATTCACAATTAGAAAGCCTTTTCATAAGCAGAATAGTATGTTTAAATATTAATCCAATAACGCTGGTTACGATTTAAATTGTTACACAACTACTTTTGTCACATTTAATTATTGTAGCCATGTTTTAATTGGAAAGTTTCCTAGAAAGTTAATTTGTATTATACTCGTTTTTAATTACAAAAACACTAAAAGGACCAACCAACAGTACTGGTGACAATTAATTGTTCATTGATTCAAGTTAAAATTTATTTATTCACAGTATTCGGTGGAAAATGACGAATTCATGTTTACAAAACTTCTCGTTGAAATCCACTTGATACTCAGAATGATGAATATAAATTGAAATATTGATTTTGTTTTCTAGAAGAATTTTAACTTCCCAACTTTATTAGGATTTGTGGTAATCACATACCTAAAATAAACATACAACGTACCTAAACGGCATTTTTAAAGCAAATTTCCTACTTATAATCCAATTTTAGTAAAAAAAGTGATCAGCGCCGAAAACCTGTAGTGTATAAAGTTATATGTATTGCTGCATTTTATGATTTTAGCACTATCTTTTTTTATGTTCTGCGATTAAATTGTTGATATTGCAGTGTCAGCAAAACAATAAAATGATTTAAGCAAATCGCTACTCAGGTAAATAAAAAAAAAATTTCGTTAATTTCTATTATTTTTTCACTTGGGCTAATGAAAAAAGTTGTTAAACAATCTATAATATTAAAACGAAACAGTGTTTTTTTATTTCACGATTCTGAATAAACCACTCGACGGATTTTCATGATTTTAGTGTTGAAAGAAAGATAATTTTGAGAACTAGGGAATGTCGAAGCCATAAATTTAGTTTAGGGTCCCAGTTTTTTAGAAATTAAGTTTTAATTTTTAAAAAGTCTAGCAGCCAACGCTAAGATTCTAAACTAGCTTTTGGCATAAAATAATTTGCTTAACATAACAGCTGTAAACATTCAGCTTTTGTGTAACAAATTCAGCATTTGGATAAAAATGTAAAGACATACTTAGGTTTGACGTATTTATACTATGTTTAATGCTAATCATTGATACGTTCAATTCTTCTGTAAGAGGATGACAGATTAATTAAATTATACATAGTAAAATACTAGGATGTTCAAATTATTTTTTAAAGCAATCTTTGTAATCTTCGATTTGTTTTAGAGCAATATAATTTGTTTTAACTAACAGCTGGTTAAATATAAACTATGGAACTATGAGGTTATTTTATTTACTCTTATTTTGTCATTGATTATAGGAAATAAGTAAGATTAGTAGAGATAATTAGACCACAGTTTAAAATAGTTTAGACCAAAATTAATTAAACCACAGTACAAATCAAGGCTCTGTACACGAGTCTTAATAAAAAAGGATAAATGCAAATTATTTTACTACTCCACTTTTCAAAGAAAGAATAGAAAAATAACAATGTTTACATGTTTTAATTCTTCATGGTAGCTTTTGGTTTACAATTAATAAATGTTTGTCTGCTTTAACTTTGTTTGGATTAGGCCCGGAAATATTGATGTCATAAAAAGAAGATCAAGAATAATCAGGAATCACGATTTTAAATTACCACCACAACCTCAGCCAGGTTTTATACAAAGATAACAGATGGATGACATAGATTGAACACAACGTCAACATTGACCTAGGATACTGCAATTAGACAAACCATCCTTTTATGAAATCGTGTTCAGTTGTGGTTACGTTTGGGGGTGCCTATATCAGCGCCCCCAAACGTGAAAATAATACTTTTATTTCAACTATGAATATATTGTAGTTTAAATTAACTAATATGGGAAATTACGATGTACATTTATTCAATGAGGGTGGGTAATTATCAAGGATAGAACTGATAACGGTATGGATAATAAACATTGACAATTACGTCATTAGCTTTAGTAGCGTGATTTTTTATATTCCTGCTACATGTGACCATTTCTTTTTTTTCAAATGAATGTTATTGGAACCAAACAGCTGTTTCAAAAAAAACTGTTATTGTTTATACTTTTCTTTGTTTACACTTATTTATTTAGCAATTAATGCAGTGAAATTGATATAAAGGATAGGTGTGACGATTAGTTTTGATGTTAGGACACCAAAGTTAAATTATGTGTACTGTGAATTTTATTGGATACTATCGTTTTATTTTAGGTCGTTTCTATTCAGACCTACTGGAAATTGTGTATAGTAGTTGTATTGTGGTGATAATAATTATGGAAGAGGCAGGTATGCTATGGAAGGTGGTATCGTTGACTAGGTCTGATACACTTCTCAATTGACTATTACTCTCTCTACTGTAGGCTACTTATAATCAGTGTAAAACTCGGCTGCAAATCTCACTTCAACGCTTTTCACATCGTAAAAATTGCGGAATTTTGCTGTTTTATTGTAAAATTATCGGATTTAAAATGCATATCGTATAGGCCTATGATGGAATAAAAACATATTTGGTCACACAACATTTGTTTACAAGATGATTTTTCACATAAAAACTGCAAGAAACTTTGTCTTTATATGTGTAAACTAGCTGATCTGAATTGTACACGGTTTTAACTGACTACTGAATTCCCGTACGTAGGACGGGCTAACACCTCGTAGTATTTTATAATTTTATTAATCGCTGTTTTGTCTGTTTGGAATTTTAAGGAGCACGACTAAGTATACCACCCCCTTGCAATGTGTACAATCGTATTATACTGTTGATAATCTTTGTGGCAAGCTTAAACTTAACAGAGTGTTTGATTCTATTGTTTACATTATTTAGGTCAAGTGTCGACTATTATTTTGCTTGTTATTGCTACTTGAATACAAGATGAAAACTATGTAAAGTAAATTTATAATTCAATTCATAACATAAGAAAACTGCAATAACGTAAAAATTTAAACAAGATATTTTTTTCCAGAATTTGACGAGAATAATTATGAGAGATTTTGAACTTTATGGAAGAAAGTCGAAAAACTGACGATGCATAAGAAAAAATAACACAACCTCTCTTCTTTAATTCCAAGCATTTAAGTTTATAACCCAAACGAAACCTCAAAAACCAAAAAATATATTTTTTATCTTACAAGTTTTCTCAAACTATCCCCGCTTATTATCTACCCCTATTTCGCTAGATGGTATTACATAATAGAAACCCCTAACAGTGTTGTGAGACGAGAACAAGAGTCCACGAAAACATTGGGGAAACAACTGTGAGCACAATGCTTCTGTGAAGATGACGTCTTGGAAATGAGAAATCTTATTATAATCATACAGCATTGCAATCTCTTTGTAATGTGTCGGCCATTGTGCTTAAGGACGCATCGTCACCAGACTAATGCAGCAAACTTTTTGTAATCTTCATAATAAGTTTTTATTTATTTTGCATTTAAATATCCTCTGTCAAACAAACCTAGACTTCGTCTCGAACTTAAAAAACTATCTTGATCCGGCAAAACCTAATTTTCGGGCATAGGTACGAAATATACTATAGCAAATACGAATTGTTTTTGGTTGAGGGGTAGCTGAGAAACTAAAAGAAAACTCTAAAAAAACTAAAAAAAAATTATAATTGTGACTGTATAAAAAGTTCATTGTCTCTATTTACGTTGGTAAATTTGATTTCAATCACTTTAAATTCTATATTTTCTGTATAACAATAGAGAAATTAAAAAAAAACTATTTATATTTGCATATTAACTCAAATAATTGTAAATTTCAGAGACTTTTTTGACACTAATATCCATGTTTATTGCTTATCTTAAAAACAAATAA